CTGGAAGGAATGCAACCCAAAAATTGGCTTGGGTCACTCTCCTCTTGCAGTTCACTAAAATACAGATAATAGGGGAAATGGAGTGGATGCTGGTATTCTCAGGTGAGAAGAATTATTTTAGGATTAGTTAAGTTAGAAAGATTGGGCGCTTAAGAAATATTAAGCAGGCTAAAGCAATTAGATTGTGATAGTAAATGATGTTAATTAGCTCTCCATAAAAGAGTTCCATAACTGTGAAAGCCAAGTTCCCACCTGAAGCAGAGACTTTGTACCTACCAAAATAGCACAAAGCTTCCATTAGTGTATGACAATTGCCACTTGAGTAAAATGGTAAGTGAACATCTATACTTTACAAGGCTGCTTATTATCATCATCACTTTTCTCTCCCTGGGATGACATCTAGTATGGAGAGAGGGAATCCTGCTGAAGGCCTAGGTCAAGCTGCAGGAATTATGCACTGCTCTGCAGAAAAGAACTGTACTTTCTGCTTTTATTGACAACTTGAAGTAAAAGGTTCTGCCTTTGCAGACAGCACGGTAATGTTTTTGACGTAAGACTGAAAAACAATCCTGTGGCAGGCAGCCACATGAACAGCAACTGATATGCAATATTTTGTGTCCCTGAGATTGTTCTAACTAAAAGAGCTAAAAACTTGTCATGGTTTTATGATTTTTGCTATCCATATTGTAACATCATGCAAAGCTCAGAGAATTAAAGAGTTAATGTTCCAGTTCCATGGGCTGATGACTTTCCTGGATGCCTGGTTCTCAGAAGAGAAGAACTGCGTACCCCAGAGGACTTTGTGTTTGGAGGGGAAGATAAGATCCGCAAGTCACAGGACTCTTTTGCTGCCTGGCAGTGTGTGGGTGTGCTCCCCAGCCACTTTGCCTTCAATTCAGAGTAAGGCTCTGCAAACGCTTTAAAGGAAACAGGGGACCTTCAAGCCTTATGTTTGTCAAGATTGTATGTACCGTGATGGTGTAAAATGGTAAATGCTAATCTGAAGATGACTGACTTCTGTAGAAGGCATAACATTGGACTAATAAGACCTTGGATTTGATCCAGCATCCATCCCTGTCTTCTTGTGGTTTTCCATAAGGATCTATTATGAAAATAAACTCTCCTCTCCACATGGAGAAGTGATAGTTGGGAGCTTTCAAGGAGTTATTTTCTGTTGTCAAGTGCAGCTAACATGCCTCTTGACTACTGTTTGGAAAGATGGTGAGAGGTTTTAGCAGACCACTGATCATCCATCCTCTGTTTGTTCTACTAGTTTCACTGTGTGGAAACAAAGTACTTCATTTTGAGGCTTTCTCAGTTCCAGCAAAGTGCTCTACTAGAGAGTTTAAGATTGTTTAAGATGCAAGTTTTTGGTAGCAGAGCATCTGCAGGGATCACCTCTGTGAGAAGTGGCTGCCCCATTCTGGGAACAACCAGCTCTAGTTGGTTCCAAAATAGTCCCATAGCAAGACAGTTTGTTTCCAAATACCTGAACCTGTAAATAATGTTTAAATGAACTGGTGAGAAATTAATTTATCTTAGCCAAGTCTGGTTTGCCCACAGCAGTAATTGATAAGTGATGTCCTTGTTTTAATCTGGACCTGGGAACTTTCTCACTCCTGCTCTTTCTGTTCCCTCACTCCACCCTGCTCTCCTGCTGGGAGAGGAGCAAGTAGCTGGTTGGGAGTTTGGTTGCTCCCTGGGGCCAGCACACCACAAATACCAGAAGCTTTAACACTACCTAGAGTTTAATTTTACTTGCTAGCAAGTATAGGGCCATGAGTGAGTGAACGCATGCTAGCCACATCTGCATTGTTAGTGTTGCCAAGCATGCTTTCTGTCTAGGCAATGATATGGAAACTGCGTTTGGAGCTGCAGGTGGGGAAAAGTTTTATGATTCTGAAATTAGCCTGAAACAAAACATACTGTCTTTACCTGAAATGATAACAGAACAAGCAGTTGGAAATTTCACTTGGCTAAGGTAGGATGGAAGCTTTACCCTCAGCTCCTTAAGAGGTCCTATACTTGCTTGTCATAGAGTAGGCAGTGATAACATAGTGAGCCACGCTGCTGGTGTGCTTGTGGATGTAACTTTGGTAAGTGTGTTTACATACACTTCCCTACTCTGTGCAAAATATTGGTTTATATGCAGTGGAGCTTTGTGTGGGGAATGTGGTACAAAACAATATGCATAGAAGTTGATTATTTGTTCTGTATTCTTGGTTACCTTCAAGAACAGTATTTTTTCATTTTGTTTTGTAAGCATTCTTTCAATATATTTTTTTCTGATCAAAATAAAACATCATGAACTGTTGACCATTTTCCTGTGGGCAACCTGTAGTTGAGCATTTATCTATTTAATGTATGCAGATACAGTAAGACATTTGAGGTTGTTTTTTTTTTTTTTTTTTTGTGACACAGTAGGTAGGGAAAAGACATCCACTCCACCTCTTGGATGACTGCATTTGTTCAATTTCATATGATGTGTTAACGTTATAAAAAAGTGAATCACTCTACATTGTGCGTGTTGATTTTTTTAATAATTCTGCAACAAATCACTTTAAGATTGATTGTAACCAGTTTGGCCATTTTGGTCTTGTCTCTTTATTCAGTGGTTTGGTGAATTCATGGCATAACCGTTAGAAAGGAGGGAATTCTAGAGTACTTCAGTATTTGATTACTTTCATTAGTGAAAGGAAAGAAAAAAAGTTTTTTTGCTTTACAACAACGTTTAGGATTTTATAATCCATCCTTAGCCCAGGGAGATTGGCCACAGTATGGAAAAATTCAAACTTAATGTCTTGAGAATGGGAGATAGTTGGATGCTGATGTTGTTCAGTTGAGCATGTACAGTTTTTATGATCCAGTAGCAGTTTGACTTTGCATACTGGATTGACAAATACTAATGCTTTCTTCATAGCTTGTAAACTAATTCAAGATGTACATAGGGTAAATAAAAGTCATTTAGGGACTCCCACTTAAACAGATCAACTTAAATTTGAGTCCTCACTCTTTTTTTACGTAATAAAAATTGCTATTGTTCTTCATAACATTAGATGTTACAGATTTTCTCCTAAATCCTATTGCGTTAAACTATTTTGTCTTAGGTAGTATGTCCCTGTAAAGTCAGTTCTGGTGTGATTAAAAAGTTTAAATTAGTCTTCTGCAAATTGAGGTTAATGGTCTTTATGGTTGTCTTTGTTCTTATAGAACTTGAACCTAAGATGAAAAGGGTGAAACATGGGGGAAAAATGTTGAAATTATTCAGAAGAGGATAATAAAAGATATATGTATGCATTCTTGTAATTTAAAATTGTCACCAATCAGCACTTCATCATTCATCAACAAGGGAAGATAGGGAAAGAAATCAATGCAGGTGCTACCCGTTCTGTCATTTCACATCAGCTTAGCAAAGGGGACTTATTAGAGAATTACTCAAAATTAGTTTTAGTGGATCTTTTTCCAAATCACATAATTGCTCTTCATCATACTGTATTAACTATTTAATGTCCTTTATTGTTCTGTATGATGAGCATCATCAACATCTGTTTGAAATTTTCTTTCTTGTTCAAGAAAAACAGTCATTTTCTAACGTATTCTCAAAATAAAAGGGTTGCATCCTGATGATAAAAACAACTGTAGTGGAGCTTTTCAAAAGTGTTCTGAATGTAATCAGCATAGAAATCTGAGATAATCAGTCAAGCCAAAATTTTTTACAATGTTTTATCCGAGAAATTTCAACATGTATGATTAAGTTACATATGTGGATAGAGAAAGGACTAGGGGAAACAAAGCTATTTAATTACAGAAAGATTGATTCCTAACAAGAATTATTTCTGCTAGACAACAACTGCATTTTGAATATTGAAGTAGTAGTCTAACTATTGCTACAGCTTGGTGATGGCTTGAATCATCTCAGGTCTTCTGGCAAATTTGTGAAATGAGGAGGCTAAGCATGTGTGCCTGAATTTTTTTTCCAAATAATGCTACAAGTTTCATCTATATGCTTTAAAAGAGCAAATTTCCAAATTACCTTCAAGGAGGGAAGCTTTGTGTTGTGTCAGTGCTGGCCAATGTAGAAAGAACATGCCAAACCATCTAAAATTATCTAAAATAAACACCAGGAGAGAGCCTGATCATCTCGTCCTTCTAGAAGATCTTTTGTCTCCATGTGGTTGATCTCTCCTGTTGTCACTACTAATTAGAAACCAACAAACAAAAAAGTGGTATTTGGACTAATTTCATCTAACTGTAACACATATTTCATATGTTTCATTCATACAAAGATGTATACTATCACTCTTGCACATATTTCTGAGTAACTTTTTAAAGGTGAAAGAGGTCCTACGAAAACAATTTACTGCTATCATCACAAATAATGTTTCCCATGCAATGAAGAAGTTGGAAGGCTCCTGCTTGACACATTTCCCCCAGATTTCAATGGAAAAGAGGTGGGGAGATGAACTCTATTGGGTGTGAACTGCACACTTACTCCTTTGTGGTTTTCAAGCCCACTTTACCTTCCTGCGTTTGTAACAGCAGCTAGACTACATCTAAAAGGTCTGTAGGTGGACAAACTGAAGTTCTGTGATTCTTTTTCTATTACTTGTGTCACTTTGTAATCCCTACATCTTCTACAGAGCAGTCCCCCCCCCTACACACACACACACACACAAAAAGTGTCTGCACATGTTGATGAGGGAAAAATAGATTGTAAAATAGCACTGCAAGTGGAAGCTGCTGCTAAGTTAGGGCAGAATTGTTCACTGACATTTCTAATGGAAAGAACTAACCCCTAGATTATTTATTTATGTGCAGCTGCTACAGAATCATTGCACTTTTGTCAATCATTGAATTATTTGATCATGCCACATCTGCCATTCTCTTACTTTATTTTCATCCTTAAGGGACCATTTGTTATCATTGCTGTAATTGTGAAAATGTTTGAGAAAATCTTTACTGAGATCAATAGCCAGACACCTTGTTTTTCTGTTTTGTAGGTAGTGTCACTACAATCTCGCCTCCAAGGAGAGTGTACACTGTGAGTCCTCCTCCTGAGGGCTACGTTGCAGCTATTCCAGATACTGATAACACTACAGTTTCTGAAAACTCCGAGGGTAGTGCTGACTCTACAGGTAAGTTTGTCTGCTTGTTGCTGTGATTAATTTTTCTTTGGGAAACATTCTCGCAAGCCTTACCAAGTAGATTTAAATTGCAACAATTAAGTATTTAAAGTGTTGCTGCCAGTGGGTGTCACTGTTTTGCAGTATAAGCAAAATGAGATGGGTTCATTCTTCTAGATTCATTTCCTTTGTTAGCTTGCAGACCAGATTCAGCATTTGGTTATAGCCTTACAGTGCTGTAGACCTTATTGAAATTGGGAAGTCTTCAGCACCTCCCATTTGAGTACCACATGTATATTATGCCCACTTACATCATGTTGGTCTTAGATGTAACGTTAGATACAGCTCTACTGGTAAGTCTTACTGCTGAAGTTGTGTGGAGTTGGGCAGAGGTTTAACATTCTTTCAGAGTGACCTCTCTCAATTACAGCAGAAATTCACCTGATTGATTGTGATGGAAATAGATACCGTTCCATAGATTTTGAGAGGCTTTCTGATGAGGAACTGTGACCAGGTCACTTTAGAACTTGTCTGCTACAAGAGAAGCAGGGCATGATCTCTAGAGTGGTTTCTGAGTGAGCTTTGTTAAGAAACATGGCAATCCCAGTGAAGTTGCTGGAATTAAATTGATATCATCTGTCTTAGAAGTAAGTGCTAATCTTAGATAAAACAAATCAATTTAGGTTTGTTTTTTTTTTTTTTTTTTTCAATTACTGTGTTCCTATGGATATGTTTTTTCTGAATTGTCTATTGCTGTCATTTGCTACTATATTATTAATAGCAATCTACAGCAAAGGAAATATCCAGGTGAGCCTCCTGAAATAAAACATTTAATAAGTGCTATTTATTAAACTACTGTTTGTTTCAGCCTAGCAACTCTCTAAATTTAAGGAAAAGCTGTGATTCAACTTAGAAATATAGAAAGACAACAGTGCCTTGTCTTTTGAAAACAGTACCTAAAGGGGTGAATTTTCAGCTTGAAATGCGGGTCTGTACTCTATTCTGAGCTCCATTCATGACATAACCTGTCGTTAGTGTCCTGGTTCTAACACGTAGGTATGCATCTCACCTTTGGTGGGGAAACATTCCATGAAGAAGCTATGATACATACCTGAATCAGAATATGAGTAGAATTACCAAAATACTGTGGTGGCATTTCAGTAATGTACTTTCTCACTGTGAAATTAAGAGATCTTTTTATTGGAGTGGGGAAGAAATGCCTTTATCAAAGTAAAACAGTAGTACGTCTTGTTGCTATTGAAATTAAGAGATTCGAATGCCCAACTGTATCTTCTGCATTTCCATTTGTTAGATAGGATTCGCATTCAATCCCGAGTCTGTTCCTAAACTAACTGACTCACATTTGAATTACATTGTTCTCTTTGGACAGCATTTTGGGTTTCTGTCCTATAGCATTTCAGATTTAAACTGTGGTTTATTCTCATATAGAAGCAGTTTCTCTTCTCTGTACTTCATTATGTTTTCTTACTCTTGGATGTGGTCTTCTTTCAGTCATCAGAAGGACATTCCCCTTCTTTATTTTGCAGATGATAAATTAAGTCTCACAGTACCTTGCAGGTAAATAGCCCTGTCACATTAACTTTTAGGCAGGGACTTAGGCTACTTCTAAATAAAAGCTGATGGCAGAGCTCTCTCAGTGCACTGGCTGCTGTGCATTCTTACTGAGGTGTTGGTACAGAACTTTGTGGTAGAGTTACTCAGCTACAATTTAAAATCTACAAATAGATGAATACATGGTGATGCATATTATACATTGATATACTGCATAGCAGTAGAACAGACTAGAATTTAGGATTGCATAAATCGTGCCTTCTGAGGGTCGCATAAGTATTCATCTAAGTTTTACAGTGGGTAGATTATTGAGCAATGATGTCACTTGTTTTACATTTCATCTTTTTTTTCCCTCTCTTACCTCAGGGGGAAAAAAAAAAAAAAAAAAAAAAAAAGCAAGAACAAAACTTTCACAGAATCACAGAATCACAGAATCACCTGGGTTGGAAGGGACCTCAAGGATCATGTAGTTCCAACCCCCCTGCCTAGCAGGGCCACCAAACGTACACATTCAGACCAGGTTGCCCAGGACCCCGTCCAACCTGGCCTTGAACACGTCCAAGGACGGGGCATCCACAACCTCCCTGGGCAGCCCGTTCCAGGGCCTAACTACTCTCCTTGTGAAGAACTTCCCCCTAACATCCAACCTAAATCTTTCCTCCTTCAACTTGGATCCATTTCCCCTAGTCCTGCTGTTATCAGCCCTTCTGAAGAGTTTACTCCCCTCCTGGCTGTAGGTTCCCTTCAGGTATTGATAGGCTGCAATGAGGTCGCCCCGCAGCCTTCTCTTCTCCAGGCTGAACAAGCCCAACTCCCTCAGCCTGTCCTCATAGGGGAGGTGCTCCAGCCCCCTGATCATCTCAGTCGCCCTCCTCTGGACCCTTTCCAAGATCTCTATGTCTTTCTTGTACTGAGGGCTCCACACCTGGACACAGTACTCCAGGTGGGGCCTCACAAGAGCCGAGTAGAGAGGGACAATCACCTCCCTGTCCCTGCTGACCACCCCTCTCCTGATGGAGCCCAGGATCCCATTTGCCTTTCGAGCTGCCAGAGCGCACTGCTGGCTCATGTTCAGTCTCTCGTCCATCAGGACCCCGAGGTCCTTCTCTGCCGAGCTGCTCTCAAGGACCACTCCTCCCAGCCTGTACGGGTGCCTGGGGTTCTTCCGGCCCAAATGCAAAACCTTGCACTTTGCCGTGTTGAACCTCATTAGGTTCACCCGAGCCCAGCCCTCCAGCCTGTCGAGGTCCCATCTGAAGGGACTACTTTCCAACTATGATAGCAGAGAGTAGTGTTCTGGTGTTGCTTAGTGACCGTATCAACTGTTTGATGGTGATCTCTTACATCTGATCCCAGTCTCAGTGCTCAGTAAGAGTAGATTTTCAGCTTTAGCCACTGTGTTACAGTTAGCAAATACATCTGGAGTTTTGAGAGGCTTTTATTTTTTGACTGGTTTGTTATTTGACTTTACACATTATCACAGAATAAAAAAAAAAATTACATTTGAAGTAACGTGTGGAGCCATTTGCTCTTCGCAAGATAAGATCAGCTGTATTCTTGCCAGGCAAGGAAATCTCCATGTAGAGAAATTTTCTTACCACCCTTTTTACATTTGCATTTGTTTCACTGTTCTTTTATGTATGCTAGATCTTGCTGCAGCTGAAGGCTCTTGTTGGTTCCATCTAAAGATGAGTTTAGGCATCAATGCTAATTTTGCAAGGCTCTGGGGGGTGTGGTTAATTTTACATTAATCTAAGCATATATACAAAATTGGGGTGAAGACTGTAATTTCAGGCAATGCTCATAAAGCATGAAAAGAACAATTTCAGCAGTCACACCGTGGATTATTTCATTTTCTGATTTGAGTGTAAAACATAACAGACAAAAAAATACATTAAAATGTGATGAGACATGCATAGGAAAGCAAAAAAAAAAAAAAGTATGTTGTTTAACCTCTTCTGTATGTCTGTAGGGATGAAAGCTCAGAGATCTTGCCACTTAAGCACTTATGGCTTTAAGTTGCACCAGTGTAAGTTTAGGTTGGATATCAGGAAACACTTCTTTACAGAAAGGGTTGTTAAGCACTGGAATAGGCTCCACAGGGAGGTGGTTGAGTCACCATCCCTGGATGTGTTTAAAATTCATTTGGATGTGGTGCTCAGGGACATGATTTAGCAGAGGGTTGTTAATTAGGGTAGTATGGTTAGGTTGTGGTTGGACTTGATGATCTTTAAGGTCTTTTCCAACCTGAGTCATTCTATGATTTTGTGATTCTATGATTCTAAGCAATGTTGCCTTTCTCAAAGATGTTGTGTCATCATTAAGTGTGCCATTTAATTCCTGAATTTTCTGTGAAATAATTTTAGAGAAGTAAATCAAAGAAATAATCAGACATGCATTTATTGAGACTAGAAATGTAGTTGAGCAAATGTCTAGGGATGAACTCGGAGGTCAAAATCTGTGTGGCTTTCAAATATACAACAAAACCCCTCAGATAGCTAAGTGGATTAGTTAAAATCTGACAATGATAAATGGCAAGAGTACATCTTCAGTTTATGTTCATTCAACTCAGATAAGGTTAAAGCTCTGAGAGGCTGTGCCTTTTTTTTTTTTTTTAATTTAATTTGTTCAAGTCCACATCCATTTACTACAGATTTCATGCTGCATCTAGCACCCTGATAGCCATTTTTAGCTTTCACACCCAGACGAAAGGGAAATAAATTCTGCTGAAATTCTAATAAACAGAAAATGACTTTGTTGTTTATTGAGCCTATCTCATTAAAATAATCCAACTGTATTTTGAGATTAAAATTCTTCAGTTGCAGATTTTAGTGGACAAGGCAGAGTGGGCACAAAATAGAACACGCGGGTATGTCTGAACACGAGGAAGCATTTAAGTACAGTGTGAGTGATGGAACCCCGGCACAGGCTGCCCAAAGGTTGGGTAGTTTGGAGATTTCCAGAAGCTGCCTGGATGTGGCCCTGGGCACCCATGTCTGGGTGTCCCTGCTGGAGCAGGGGTTGGACCAGATGGACCCAGAGGTCTCAACCTCTGCCATTCTGTCATTCTGTGAACTTAATTACATATCAGCACAGATTTCTTACATAACTTTTCCCATAAATGAGGAAAACCAAATATGTGTCTATCTAAATTAATATAATAAGATTATCAGGAGGAGTAGATGCATCATGGCGGATACTTGACTGGATTACATTCATCTGTGAAGAAAGGAAATATTCAGTCACTAGAATATGAATTTATATATTACCCTTTTTAAAAAGTTATTTGAAAGTCGAAGTTAATTACAGTCGTACATAAACTTCTTGTAAGCAAATACAAACATATCAAACATATTTGATTCTTCCTTTTATCTAAACTTGTAGCTTATGGTTGGTCTTGTCATAATTAAATGAACCTTGTCAAGAAGTACTAAAAAAGT